ATGCACAGAATCAACCATAAGAGAGGTTCAAAATATCACGAATGTCACCATGCACCTAATGTACTTTCACTAGCTTAGAGGCACAGATAATTGATAGTCACTATTTTCATATTCTACCTTTGCACGTTAAGAACCCACTGCACTATTCATATAAGAGTAGGGGGAAACCCCGGTGTAATGGTCCACCTGCACACACACCCAGTAAAGTACGATAATACTCTGTAAAGAGGTCTGTACTCAAAAGGAAGAAGAAGAAGAAGAAGTATTTTAAAAAAAAGTCACTTATACGATAAATGGTATCACATTCACCTACCTGATGGAGGAGATACAGGATAACTTGTGAGGAAGGACATCATCTTAGAAAACCAGAGAGGCAGGACTGAACCTTGTAAAGTACACTGAACAACATTCATTAAGATGAAGCCATTCCAGATGAAGGAAAGGATATAAAAGTGGACAAACCATCTGTAGAAAGAAATAGATGCAAAGTTTTAAGACTCCAAAAAGAATTAACTGCAATTTACTATCAACTTCGCATTACACAAAATAAGTAAAAAATTATATTTTTGAAGATTTTAGAGGACCAGGGGGGTGTTTCACAAAGAAAGTTGAACTTATCTCTAAGTTGGAGTAGATATTTCTGTGTTATTTTTTATCTTAAATAATATTCAGTGTCGTATTGCAGCCAAAGTGGATATATAAAAACGTAAATAAAAAGAGTGAAAAACTTGTTGCATATCTCATTCATCAGTCCAGCCGAACCGAACTATTCCTCCTGTACAGTCCCCATAGGACGTTCTTCAGTCTATGTATAGAGGCGGTCAGAGGAGCCAGATGCAATCTCAGCGGAACACAACCGTCGATATCAGACTCAGAGCTCAGAGACTGAGGCTTTAGTTTTGGTCTATGCTGTATGCAAGCGCAAGTATGATCAAAAATAAATTAAAGCAGGTTTTCTTACTAAGTCTAAACTCTTCTGAAGGTAAAGCAACATTTTAAGGACCAAGATGGAACATTAATTATTGATAATTATGAAAAAAAGCTTTTGAACTGAAAAACATAGCATTTAATTTAATAAGCCGATTGACTCAGCTCAGCTCAGCTCAGAGCCTTGAATGATATTCAATCGGGGGCTATTATTCTACAACTTGAATTATAACGTGTGGGACCGTTATCAAAATTCCACAAACTAACCTTTTTGGCACCAGTAAATACTGCTGAATACCGGTTCGTTTCCTCGGGTCTAGGAGCTTTCCGTAAACGACGACATCTTTTATAAGATGTGGTAAACAATTGTATACCTCAGGAGAGTAAGAAAGTAACACAAATACAAATGACACGATAAAAACGAGCCAAGTCCACGAAAGGGGATCCATTTTGCGCCAGATGTTAACGCTAGCCTTATCTTGAAATGATTGCATAATAATATTCGCATCGGACCCGCCCACTTAACTTTTGTATTCGAGAAATAGACTAGTTTACTATCATATTCAAGTTCTATGCATACAAAGGGTTTTCCTGACAACTTGGAAACTTGCCCGAGCTTTGCCAGACATAGCAACAACTAATGTATTCAAATTTGAATGTGTTAGTAAACATGTCTATAAGTATTACAGGGGGTGGAGAGACATGGACATGTTTAGTTCAGGAGGGAAATTCTGCCCATGCAAGTGGAAAAAACTAAAATTTAGGACTCAAGATCTTAACAAGCTTCTTCTTTAAAATACCAGATGGGTGTTGATCTATTCTACAAAGAAACTGCAAATAGAAGATGTTGGGGTATTCTTTTATTTGAAACTTAATATTAACATTTTATCAATTTCAATTACTTTTATCTTCTAATGAATTCTGAAGTTCTCTCTTTCTTGCTCTCTCTCTCAGCCTTTCAAAAGAAAAGTTATATTCTGTTAGACATAAACTGCATACTCGGTCACATAATTGAGACAAGGCATCTAGAAGTAGCTAAAATGCCCCTCTAAACTGGATGCTCCAATATATTACATTGATCTAAAAGCTAATTTGTGAAGGCAGTGGCGTACAAAGGATTTTTTCAAGGGGGGGGGGGGGAGAGGGGTTTTAACATTTTGAAATCGACTCAGCCAGCCGCTGAATAAGCAGGGGGGGGGGGGGGGGGGGTAAGAGGACATTTTTTATTTTTTTTGTCCTGAAATTTGATCGATCGACATACCGTTTCGTTGGGCCGGGGGGGGGGGGGGGGGGGGTGAGGTCATCTTTTTTAGGAGGAAAAAAAAAATCACAATTACAAGGGGGGGGGGGGGTCTTCTAAAAAAAACATACGCATAAAAAAAACTGAAGGGGGGCGTTTTACCCCAAACTCCCCCCTTGCGTACTCGACTGTGTGAAGGCATTGTTGGGTAGCGGTAGAGCAGTGGACATACAGGATTGTTAAAAAAGAGCTAGTGTTTTCCTCTATTTGAAGATTAAAATTAAATTTCAAAAATATGTCATAACTTTTTTTTCCCATCCCGATTCTGATCCACAGCCCCCCTTCTCTCTCTCTCTCTCTCTCTCTCTCTCTCTCTCTCTCTCTCTCTCTCTCTCTCCATCTCTCCCTCCCTCCCTCCCCCTCTCTCTTTCCGCATCTTCATTTCAAGTCTATGGTAGACATATGGAATATCTTTTATTTAAAATCTACCAGCAGATACATTTTCTTAGTAATTAGGTAAACGATCAAGTACTAAGAAACCGATAAGTAGTATGAAGAAGAAAAAAAGAAGTTCAAAGTGGATTAAATAATAGAATAACAAAATGAATAAAAGGACAGAGTCAAATAACAAGAGATTTTGCCATACCAAGGCATAAACTCCCTCCATTAATATCACTCAGCATGGTTTATTCATTAATCACACACAACAGCATCATTGAACACAACACAAAGACCAGTCACTGCATCATAAAGAACAACAAAATCCAAAGTGAGATGGAATCTGTGAATAAATAACATTTAATCACTTCCAACTCCAAATAGATCATCAACAAGGTGTACTAAAAATTGGTTCATAAAAACTAATTCTGCCAACATTCCTTATTTAATTGCATTGTCCCGCATCTGTTTTTTGTGCTGTTAACAGAATTGCAAACGTACTTATCAACACCAAGGTAATATGCTACAATCAAGCAATACCAATAACAGGTAGAAATTGGAGCATATCAGGAAAAAAATTAAACTTCTTAGTCCACACACATTGTTCCACTATACACCGTTTCATAAAACCACTAACAAAAGATATGAATAAAGTTACTAAGAACCCAAAACGAGAAAATACAAAATCAACAAGTGAAATAGATTAACATTGAAGTGTACAGGCATAAATAAATTTATATCCCCATCTTTTTTTAAAGAAATAAATTAAATATAATACATGTACCGATAGGTGTAATTATAACAGAAAGAGAGAAAGAGGGAGGGGAAGAGGGAGAGGAAGAGGGTAGGAGGGAGAAAGCGAGAGAGAGAGAGGGGAGAGAAAGAGGGGGGGGGGGGGGGAATAAACATTAATCTACATTTGACAACCTAGTTGAGCATAATATTATAGATTGGGATCTACACTATTCATAAAACACTAACAATTATTCATAAGGACCATTCACAAGGAGAGAAACAAATCATGATAAAGATTCTTGTAAAAGCATTGTCTAAATGATAGAATATATATGCCTTTTCATTTCTTCTAAGTTTTTAAGTTTTTACATAATAAAGTGATCTTGTATTTTGCAACCCGCTATTTCTTAAATTAATGAATGCACACATTTTAAATCTATCACACATCCCTAGTTGGCTCTTCAAAGACAACCCTACCCTACTACAAACACTTTCCTTACTTAAAGTGATTCATAGAATATGAATACAAATAGGCTTGAATCTCTACAGTACCAAAAGATACACAAAAGAGTATATGTTTTCATATCACAAAACTGACACACACATTTCAAACAGTGAGTTTGATGAAGTATACCTTCACCTTCTTATGGGCTGGCTTTTCAGGGTTTATAATTTATCTTAACCTATAAATAGTAAGTCCAAAAATTGAAGACAGGAATTATTACTTGAACCATAAACCTCATCTTACAAGAAGGCACTGGTTATCGTTCAGTCTCTTTCTAAAGATATGCTTGATTGAAGAAAGAAGTAAAGTGTCACAAACCAGAAAATCAGAGAGTCTTGAGGTGAGACCATGGTAATGTTATCGTCTCAACCGGGTAAATGCTAGAAGAGGGTGGGGTCTACTAAACCACCCTCAGTAGTACTGTTAACATCATCATTGCACAAGTGAAGACATGAGAAACATCACAGTTGATATGACCAAAAGCTCACATTCTGAAGGTCCTTGAGAGCAAAGGTTTCTCTCGTATGGGCCTTCTAAAGAGTTGAGACTATAGTTAATAAGACTGAACGTTCACAGGAGACGAAACTTCTTGGTCTAGAGGACTTTAGGTCTCCTAGACTTTCATCTTGTATAGACATATAATCTACTGGGCTGTAGCCACATACATCACACACATAAGTAAGGGTGCACTTGGTTGAACATTCAAAATATGTTTACAAAACATCGGGTTTTACTCATTTATACTTGCAGTTACCTACATAGTACTGTCTGCACTTAAGTACAATCACACTATATACCTGATATATACTGCAGCTATAAATATACTCAGAACTCAATAGCATTTACTGGATATAATACACTTTTAGAAGCAACATATTGGAGCCTTCTCATTTATATAAGTCATTAACAGCTTGTTAAACTTTTGAGGGTACATGGTTTTCAATTGAAATACTTTAGCATTGTAGGTATGGAAATAAGTGACAAAAAGGGTATATTTCTCATTCAAAACACCATTTGCACCAAGCTGAGTTTGGTTTTGGCTAGAAAATGATTCTTGTCAACATTAAACTGAATTTACCAGCATCTGTAAGATTTATAAGTTTTTTTTACCAATAGAGAATATTTTGCATTGAAAGCAGTGCTTGCCCAAAAAAATTGACAAAATGACGAATTGAGGTTGAAAGCTTCACCTTTATGGCATCAGCAAATATGTATCACAAATATAATGATGTTAATCAAGTACCGTAACGCCTTTTGAATGATTATCCTGATGCGATCATTATTAAATGATTGCAAAAATTCACAATTCATGAGACCATATTCCAACTTCCAAGAAAAATGACAATCTATCAGTATTTGTCAAGAAATATTGGAAACAACCTAATGATTTTGGCAGTTTACGGACTATCAGAAGGTAAAGTGTATTGGTAATCATTCATACCGACAAAACTTCTGTGAAATAATACTTCATGGTGACTTGCATCATGTAGACAACTAACCCCAAAATGAACTACTTCTAGCACAATAATACCTGGTAGCCACATAGAGAAATAATGTACATATACAAAGAATCTAAAGTCAATAAGAATCAAATCACTAATAGGAGTGAAAAAGAAATGGATTGTTTGTAGTCAAAATAGTAAATGACAATAGTTTTATCAGAACATTAAAGTCCATTGAAACATTCATAACATGGATGTGGGACTTGAAACTTTCTGAACTCACATGGCATACACTTTATATCTATTTTACAAAACCAGGACATGTTACAAAGAAGTATATATTTATATGTGAAGATTTGCACAAGTGAAAAGGTGACTACAAAATCAATTCAACAGTTCAAATAGTTTCATAACATGACAGTAATTATCTGCATGACAATTAGTTACAAAATAGCATCATGAATGTGAAAGAAGAAACCATTTCACTAGCATAATATCTAACACTGAAAAATGAAATGCATCAAAACCAATCAGATGTGTAAAACTAACAACAACTAAAAAACAAAAATGAAAAATATTTCTTTCAAAACAAAAGTTTATACCATTTTCTCTGTTCACAAAACAGTTGGATTGACATGATATAACAGAAGATAGGAATGAAATTCTCTGAAAATAATGAATTGCCTGAATCTTCCCAGTTTTGCTGTCAACGCTTTGAATAAAATTAAAGAATATTGTTACCTTATGAAACATTGCATGAACAAATTCCAATAATAACTTTAAAAATTCTGTGAATTTGAACACCTTAACATTATCACTAAATTATATAATAACCAATTCACTGTAATTAATAGAACTATGCAACTTTGTTAATGAATAACAATGTAAAGATATGTTAAAGTTTAATTTGTAGGCACATGATTTGTCAATTCAAAACAGATGAAAATTGAGCTTTAAAATGTATGTTGATTCCTTGGCAATAGGCTATTGATATATTTCATCTCCGTCCACAATCTCACAAATCATACCACCCCCCCCCCCCCTTTTATTTTTATTTTATTTAATTGTAGAGGTCCACTTTACATTACTTGACATAACAGGATCTAACAAAATGACCTATTGGGATATGAACATCTTTCCTATTCATCATATCGCATGAAATCAAAGCAGAAATCTGCACGATACTACATTTGGGGAATGCATAAGGTGGCGGACTTGGTAATGTTGAGGTCTTAAAGCAATTCAACACAAGACAATCAAGTATACAAATTGGTTACCTTCACTGAAGATAAGGTGTACTAATATAAATCATAGATCTTACTTTCCCCAATCATTCATTACACAGGGAGATTTTCATTGATAAAATTTCTTATTATCAAATTACAGAATAATTAAAATGAGAACTTCCTCTCATCTTGGCCACTTGCAATGGTGATACATGTATTCACAGTCACCATTATATATTTATCACATTTAAGATTACTTGGGGAAAGTCCTTTCTTCAAACTTTGGATAGAGTGGCTACACCTCCCCTATTATCTGTTCAATATATAAAGACGTTACATCTGGACCTTTGTAAAGTCTCATTCCAGTAGCCTTCTGCTACCGACCAAACCAGGTATGGTGTAGTCTTTAGAACCTCACTGACTTTACTTTGCAATATAACTATGAAGTTTCTGCATAGACCACATTTAAACCTGAGAACCGTGTATGCTTTGAAACTTGTACATTTTATTATGAGGGATTTAAAGCTCTAGGGCCTAGAGGTATCCAGTATCACAAAATTGAGGAATTATATTTTGACACTGACCAACAGTTGCATATTTTGCTAGATGTGATACACTTCATTTTCTCAGAGGTACTCTTCTGACTGAAGACCAAAATTAAGTGAGAGAGGAATGTTCATTATATTGAAAGCACAGTACATTATGTTTTTCTATCTTTGACACATACATATTCAAATCATGTTGATGCATATACAATGGGTCTGTAAACAGGAATAGTTGCACCTTACAATAAGCATGCATAGATTTATTGTACAAAATGTAGGGGTTGCATCAAAATGTAAGGAACCATGCCAAACATGGGTCCATTTTCTCAACTTCTTTTCATGACTTTATGCAGCTAGAGAACACACACACATGGAATCCATGAATATAACATGTTTGAACTGGAATGTCTATCATGAAGAATATATATGTAAAAACAAATACTTAACAAAGAACTATCATTTGAGCTCGGGGAACAATCTAAAATCAGAACCTAAAAGATGAATGGAGCATTTCTAACATCAAGATAAGGACTAACATTTGAGGGCAACAGGAATATTTTACTGTTAATGATACTGTAAATATCTATAAAAATAATGATTTTCAATGGACAACATGAATACACAAGGGCACTTATTCTATGACACAAAAATAATTTAATATTCCTCTTTTGATTAAAAATACCATTTATCAGGCTATATTAGATCTCTGTATAAAATACTATAAAATCTGTTGCACGATTGTCCCATCATATCCTCCACACTTCAACTTTCTCTGCAACCACACACCAATTAGCATGGTCATAGTAGCTTTTAACTATGTGAAGATTCTCAATGTTTCTTTCAATCAAGTCTGTTAGTTCACCCTCCTTGAATACATGGTAGTAGCGTAGATAAAGGGAAGCATCTGTGGGGTTCTTGGGATTGGTCTTGTCTTCTTCCTTCTGGACCTGACCTTCTGGAGTTTTGCTTCTCTCATCTTGATGGTTGCACCTCAGGTTGGGGTTACTGGCTGGCCGCCTCTTACCAAACTCACTCCTGGAGTTGACAACATTCTTTGAATGCCGTCCAGGGTCATGGGGCTCTAATGGGTCGTCCTGGTTGAGGGAAAGACTTTCAGAGGACGGTTTCCTTGATAAAGCCAGCGGGCTCTCAGGGAATTTGAAATCTTTGGGCATGAGCTTCTCAAGCATAGTGAGGGAGATGGAGCGAGTTCGCAAGTCAGATGCGGGAGTCTGCTCTTTGTTCAGTTGGGATTGTTTGGTTGGATTGATAGGGTACGCTGTCAAACTTTCATCTGAGGAGGACACAGAATCAAAAGAGGACTCAAGGTCCTTTTCTGATCCTGACTGGGACAAACGATTCCTTCTTTTCAAGGGCTTGAAGATCTCTCCCCTTGCAGATGTAAAGTTCAACCCAACTACTGGCTTCTTGCCTGTCTTTCCTTCAGATTTATACAAGAGTTCTAAGGACTTGGTGATAACCCCATTCCATGGACTGGAGCCCTTTTCTTTGGTCTCATCAGACCGAAGATTAAGTTTGAGTTGTAGCTTTCGCCAATTCAGCAACTTCTTAGTGGCCTCTGAGCATTCTCCATTGACGCTACCATTACTAACAAACCCTGATGTGTCGCTACTCCATGTTGATGCCTTCAAGTCACTTCCCTTATTAAGGTTCTTGACATCTATTGCACCTTCGGAGTTATGTGAGAAAGAAGACAGATTTCTCCTATTAGCACCAAATTTTTCTAAGGAAGTTCGGGGTGAGCTGGTTCTTTCAAAATCTCTTTCATCCAGTGACTGAGAGCTTAACAGAGGTGAAGTTCGCTTTTTTATATTTCTGAGAGGTTTTGAATGCTTTGGTAGAATACTGTCACAACTGCCTGAGCCATTTAGCAGAAGGTGGGAACGGGGGTGCCTGTTCTTAAGGGACTGACCACTCTTGTGTCCATTTTCATAGAAGCCCATAGAACCGTCTTTATTTATGATACACCACTGGTTCTTGGTGTTCTCATCAATGTCATCATCATCGTCATCCCCAAAGACACTATTGACATCACCTTGGGTCATGTCATCCTCACTTCTGAATGGGGACGTAGGTGAGTAGGATGCAGGAAATACCTGGAGGAAACCATCCCACATAGTCCCTCCCCTCTCTCCTTCTTCTACACTACTACTCCTGCTCATCATTCGTCTACTCATCCCGCTGTCTGACTGGCACCTGGTCTTGGCGACTCTTGGTTTAGCACTCAGAACGACGCTCTCCTCACAGCTATAGCACTTCCTCAATACCCTGGCTTCCTCTGATCTTGGCTGGTCCCTACGGTTAGGAAACTTCTCCCGGAGCCAGTCCCTCTCTGTTGTATGCCTCTGGAGTGTCTTGGTCTTCCTGGATCGCATACCTCCATTCTGGGCTGACACAATGGCTGGATGGACTTTCATTTTTGATAGCTTGCCGTCTGTCTTCCCGTTGAGCGCCTTGTCTGGTTTTTTGTTTGTCTTCACGTCGTCATCATCACTGGCTGAACTGCTGCTGTTGTGATTCTGGTTCTTGCTGTTCGGTTTTCCTGTGGCAAATGAAGTAAGAAAAAACAAAATATACTTTAATGTCTTTTTCCTAAAATAATGAGTAAACAAACAGATTCAAAATCATTTTGGTATAATGATTCTCAATATAGAGCTATGATGAATTAATGTATTCTTGTCCCAAGGTTGTCAGGCATTATACTTGAATAATGCTATATGTTAATGTTATAGTAGAATGATAGAAATGATGCGCTACAGGTCATTTAAGAGACAACCTCATGTGCTGATTTCCAACTCCTGGCCAATAATCTCATCAGTCTGATCAACGTCAAATTGTTAAACAAGCTACATGTTATGTACATAAATGTTAAAAGAAAACAACCAGATTCATTTTTTAATCTTTTAATCTCCAAATTCACTATGGAAATCTGCTGACACAAATTTTGTTACTCGATTTGTTGGGGGTATTTATAAATATTCTAATTGGTGGTACAATACAATCAACAAAAACCCACAGCAGGAATCATCAAATTAACCATTGCCTAACAGTACAAATCACTTTTTTCTATAATACTTGGCATTAGTGAAATAATGTACCCTTTTTTTTTTGGCGAAGGCTGCTTGACACTTCTTCATTTAGAAAATTCTATACAATATCAACTATTCTCACTGTGAACAAAAATCACTTCCTCCCAAGGGTCTGAATGGCATCCAATGCCTTAAGCACTACACGAGTCTAGCGGAACTGTCCGAGAATAATTACCTCTAGAGTGATTTGATCGTTTCTAATATTTGCTCCATCTGAAGCGAAGTTTGTCTCCAACTGTGATTAAATGTCCTCGAGCAATCTCTTAGTTAAATCTCATGCCCAGACAGCCAGACAATTAGCCATGCCTGTAGTCTTCTCTCAAACCTGATCACAAATCTTGATCTAGTTTTATCTAGATCAGTGGATTGATATGGAACATATCAGAACTCCCCCAGACACATTACAGTCATGCACAGGAGTGCATCTCCTACTTTAGGACAATATGCATGCACCAACCCCTCCCCTCCCCCCCCCCCTCACACCCCAATCCACAGATTTCTACATCACATTTGCAATTCCATCAAGTTTCAAACAAGATAATTTTAATCATCAATTCAATAGAGTTTGCAAAATTATGATGTCTGGCAAGCTTAACTTAAAGTTCATGAACTCAGCACCTTTTTTTTCTGTCTTCAGAGCAATTTCTGTTGTTTTAATGTTGTTGTTATTGTTAAATTATTCTACGACAATGATCCCAAATATTGTTACAATTTTTCTGTGAGTCAGTGATGCCCTTACTGCAAACAGGGAGGTGAAAGAAAGGAGAGGAATTCAATCGCATTTGTGAGTTCTAAATGGTAACAATGGGATGTAATATTCCACTTGGCTTTGAAGTTCCATGCTCTGAGCCACGCTTCCACTGCAGGGAATTTCAAAGACCAGGCACCAGTTTTATATTTATTACAAAATCTTAAATTACCGACAAAATTTCAGTGTAAATTATAAACTTTATATGGGATTGTATTGGGAATAGTGCATCAAACAATTTTTCAAATTTGGTACTCTGCCCTTCCTATAATTTATGTGCCAGAGTTGGTAAAAGAAGAAGTAGATCCTGACAAAAACTCAATATTTTAGGATAATGCGCTAATTTTTGCATGTTTTAATGTCCCATTATTTAATCCATGATTTACAATCTTTGATAACTTTAAGTTTGCTAATGCGTGTTTTTGCGAGTTTTTCAAATTTTTGCAGTTGGAAAAAAGGATGACATTACTCAAGTTAGTTTTCGCTTGTTCTACTTATTACACATTCAACAATTGATGAGAAATCATTGAAAGGGACAGCGAACAGTTGCTGGAATACCATTTTCTCATGTAGGAATTCTAAATCCTGAAATTTCATGCGCTGTTTTATCTCACCACCTGGTGAACATTTGCAGATTAGCGCATAACTTTTCGGCGGCTTGGAGCATGGGGTCAAAGGAAAGCAGCTTGATTCCACTCCTTCCTTTCACCTCCCTGCTTCAAACAACAAACTACACCATCACATTTTCTTTGAGTACATCTATTATTGCTACAGTGAACATGGAAATTCATGCACTGATAATTTTACTACCATAAGTACTTATATCAACACAACCCACATCTATTTACAGTTGACTGAGCACTTAATAATGAATTTTTGTAATGTAAATACACAAATGTAGTTACTAATGTACAATACAAGCAAAGCAATGTGTGCATTTTTATGCCATTATATTATCTCAAATCAAATATCAAAGAAAAATTGAGAAATATTTGAAAAAAAACAGAACAGATGAATGTGAGAACACAGAATGATTCAAATACGTCATAAAATAGTTTAAGGCTGTTCACCAAAGGAATTTTTAAAAGTATTTTTGTTTTTTTACATCTAGCACACACACCCCATTCTTTATCAATGCCACACATCAGTTGATATTCAATGTGATGGAGTGTGATTGTAGGTTGTTAAGTAATATCCTTAACCCTTGCTCTTCCACCAAGTTCACAAACATGAAATATAACATTCAATCAAATCTAACTTCTTAAATACATGAATCAATTTTGAATTTCAAGAAGAGAGATTATCATTACTTAGCTAAAGAAATATGACACATTATCACAATTTGGTGGTGTAAAACCTGTAAACTACTTACAGCACTAAAAGAAAAATTTACCAAGATCAAGGGTGGTTAATTCTCTTTTGACTCTCGCCGGGTGGAAAATCATAATTGCTATGCACTTGAATGTTAAAACTTGAATTTGACATGTGAGATCTGTTTCCTGTTTATCAAATATTTGGAAGAAAGAATAAAGAAATATTGTACTTAGAAGCTCATTCATTTCATGGTTAATTAATTTCAATTAGATTCCACATGAGGAAACATCCATTAATCTTTGCAAAGATAATAATCCTGCATTCCTACATGAACATTATTTGTTGTGCAACAGACTTTTTCAACACAAAGAGCAGAAAATTTTCTTTCAACAATTTCAATGTCTGAAAATGTTAAAACTTTCACATGCAATTTGTTTAGTTGTAGGTTAAAATACAGGGTATGTCAAATTCTCTTGAGTAATTGTGTAAACAAATAAAAACAATACTTATGATGTATGAGTCTTCTGTATGTATAGAATTTAATTGTTTATGTATCCCTAAAATTGTATTTTCTATCACTTGGAATATAAGACAAGTCCATACTCTGCAAAAGTGTACCAAGAATAGATTTGTAATTTCATTACCAAGAACATAGCTCTGGGAAAGCCTTTACACATAAATCCTTTTATCTTTAAAGCATACCAACCACCTGCAAAACCACCAGAATGTAATGTTTATAATCAACTTTAAACTAATTACATTTTTTTTCCTCCATATTTTTCCCTCCACAGGGATTTTATTGATTTTCATTTGAAACAAATTAACAAATATATATTCAAGGTAATTTACTTTATAACATAAATAAAATTGGCTTTTCAAGATAAAAGTATTGTTGAACTGTTGAGTTAACAGAAAACTAACAAGTCAATAATTCATTTCTGACACTCATGGAAAGAAAAACAAATACAGAAAAAATATCATTTTAAGTAAACAAATTCCTGAATTGAAACCATTTTCTTATGAATTTATTATTTCTACAATTCGAATTTGCAATATATTTTTCGTTTTTGAAGTAATTTATAATCGAAAATCTAATATTATCAAAGTCAGGCAATTGTTTCTTTATTTTGCAAGTATTCACCATCTGTATGAATTACATTTATAGGGCGCTCTATATTCAAGTACTTTACCTGCCATTCTATAGGTAAACAGTTAAAGGGTATGAATAATTTAAAGGATTACATAAAACCTGCTACATAGAGGGCTTGGGCGGAACTTTATCCTTCTAGTGTGTACATTTTTAGGAACTAGTACTGAGAATGTATATAAATCTTTGTAGAACTAATATTGGAAACTCATATTCAAGATACAGTATAGCCACATGAAAACTCTTACATCAAGAGCAAAACAAGTTTTGGTGATCAGTATACTTTAACTCAAAAGCCTTCTTCATCCTTCTATTATGAATGCAATGAGTTTGGTTGTCAATATTTGGCTCCGCAGAGCAACCAATTTCCCTAATTCAGAGAGCAAAATGATTGGACTGAGTGAGATGATCTATGGATTTAAATCTGGAAGAAAGTGTCAGATTGGAAATGGAGAGAAAGATTTTGTCAAAAGTGATTAAAAGATAAATGCAGGAAACATGGTGACTACAAGGAATGGAATGTATGTTTCACAACACTTGTTATCAATAACAAGTTGCAATAACTCATATAAGCTACAGAAATCATGGCATTGGATTGGGTGAGAGCAAATTTGTTACAGAGTATTTTTTAAGCATTTCTTGTTGATAAGCAGTTTTATGAAAAAGGACCCTAGTCTGTACTCTGTAGACTAACTTCTCAGAGTCAAATGGCATTTAAAATCCACTGAGCATGTTCCTTGTTTTGATTGGATAAGAAATATGCAGCTTTGGGCGCGTTCATGCTTGATTTTGAAGGCAGAATGAGCGATTTGTAACGCTCATCGTAAACGCTCATCGTAATCGCAGTTCCACGGTGCACTGTTCATGCTCACTTCTCCAGGCAATTCTCCTTGGGTGGCCTTCAGCTGGATTCGCAAACCTGTGTGCGCATGCTACGTAGACCCACTAGAGGTCAGTGCGTTGACCCCATTTAAACGCGTTTACAAATTGTAAACGCATCTTTTTGTGAGTTTACGATCGGCGATCGTGATCGCCGTTTTTCGGTGATTCTACAAAAGTGAGCATGAACGCAATCGTGTTTTAAACTAAACGCGTAACAGATGCCTGATTCTGGCCGTCAAAATCAAGCATGAACGCGCCCTATGTCACAAAGCCCTCACCATTGAATATATAATAGTGACTGCCTACAGAGGTCATCTAATCATTTTTTTTCCCCTTTCTTTCGTTAATTAATATGACGGGTATGTTGATTATTGTGAACACATTTAAAATAAGCTACTGCAAAGAATTACGAGTGAACACAACTTATATATCACCTTGCTTCTGATAATCAACCAGACCACATCGTGATCCTCTAAGAAAGTGAAACACGCATTAATTGCAAAAGCTTGAGCAACACTTACTTTTGTCAGTTGTATATGACAACTTTTTTTTCAGTGGCTGTTTAGTAATGAAAATGCAATACTTCCTATGATCATATTTTGATTCAAGAGTGGGTGGAAAACCATCAAGAGAAGCAATTCACATCAAGGCCGGATGCGACAAAACAGGAATCTCTTGTCACCGACCTCTTTTCACAATCGGAAATCAGAAAGCATAATGTAAAAAAAAACATCACTGAAAAAAACAACTTCTCTTCTTATCCTCGATGAGGAAACTATTTCACCTCAGACTGAGATAGGCTTTATACAATTTCCGTAGATTTCAAAAATGAGAAACAACTCAACCACAAAAGCCTCATTTCCCTCGACTCCAGTAAGGGTCGTGGAGTGACGGAGATGATTTATATGCTATTTTGAGATCAATCTTCCAATGTGCAAATGTATTGATTGGTTTAGAGACTTGCATCCAGACAAACATATCATGTTCACAAATAACAAATAAGATAATATTAAATTTAATTAAAACTGATTTTAAGAATAAATCATGAGCAGCTGATTATATGACAACAAGAGGTTGATATGCATGTACACTAAAGTTAAAAATACTTAAGAGTTATACACTGCAGCACAAGATTGACTTGACCAAATTCTGTGAAAAAATAGTATGGAATAGCAGAGGGCATTGCTGTATTAAACATGTATACTTAATTACTGGTAGTGCAAATCTGAAAATAAAACTACATCAAGAAACTGCATTGATCAACTGCATTGATCTATATTTGCCACACTCAACCCAGGTGATGTAAATGGGTACCTGGCAGGAATTAATTATTTGAAATGCTAGAGCGCCGTAATGGCAGCACAGCTAAAGCCGAGGTATTAATCTCCAAGTTTGGAAGCGCTAAGTGATTGTAATAAGTGCTATATAAAAACTGAGTTATATTATTAATTTTAAAAAGCTAAAACTTGGCAATTTCCATCAACATTTTTTTCCAATTAATATCAAATAAAAGGATGTTTATAATTCTCTGTCCAAAACAGCACATTTTATTCTCGCAAAGGTAAAAAAAAAATTCTCATTAATTTTTGCCTCTTCAATCTCAGATGAACATCAATCTAGCATACATCTCTGAGGCATTGGACAAATATCAATCAAACACAATCTTAGAGTCGTGATCTATTTTTTTAAAAACTTGATTAATGTCACGTTTTCTACCAGCCGTATGCAACATGAGTGATGAAGCTTCTCTCTCAAAAACAGTCCTTCAAGAGCCCATGAGAGGCTTTTTTTTAATGTTACTTCACTCTAAAAAATTTGAACATTAATAGAATGTTTTGCAGCTTCAATCAAGGTATCTCGCCCACATAACTTCATTTTCTTCTCTCCATTACATTACTTGTGCTATAGTGGAGCTCCTGTTTTTTAAAAGCCACATCAAGGCAAAGAGCACAATAAATTCATTTTCTACGACAATATCCTTGGCTGACAGCAAGAAGGGCATCCACTTATATTAATTCTACAAAGAACTAGTGCCCTTCTGCAGATGATGTGTGCTCTGAATGTCCACCAGCAATCAATATTTCATTTCTACATTTTTCTCTCTCTACCTCTTGTTTTCATTTTTTTTTGAAAAGCACATACTTCATCACCCGTACCACTCTGTGCTATATCCATTTTAGATTGAATAGTCATTCAGAGAGCATTGGATGATCGTTGGAGACCTATTTCAACTCGCTCAAAATAGTAATTCCTATCAACGATTCTACTAGACAAGAAAGAAATAGAGCCTTTATCCCACTCCAATGTGAATTTAGTCAATCTCCTGATATTGCATTGCTGCTATCCTCTTATAGATTCAAGAAAGATTTTTTTTGTTTTGCTTTTAGTATTTCATATTAGAGAGAAAATATCACAGACTTCTAAACTCTCTGGAAGAAAAGGAAAAAGTATCATTTTCAATATGAGTACCGGTAAGCTTGATTGCAATATGAGAATTATTTTGATGAAGAGCCAAGAACATACAGGGTGTTTTTTAAATCACTAAAATAAAAAGTTACTGTGAGCTTAACTCTCAAGTTTTGCCCTGGACCATGTTTTCAAGTCCCATTTCCAAACAAAACGGCTCAACATGACAAATTTAGAGACATGTCAATCAATGTATCGATTCAAAGCAGTTACATTCTACTTTAATTCTACTTGGAAAACAAAGATACAGCTAAATATAGAACATAGCTTTTAACCAATTAATGATAATCAGAAAGATGTATTTTCTGGGATACAATGTATTTGAAATCCCATACAATACATGATCTACAAAAATTATGTAGTAATCATCTTGTTGATGAGGTGTTCTGACATTTGCTACAGCAACAATTGCTCTGGGTTTTATATCACTATAAGTACAGGGTTAGGTACAGTATTTGGTCCAGAGTTAAGTTAGGAACATGGTTAGTGTAGGAACTTAACTATGGAGCAATTGTTGAAGGAGCAAGTGTCGTAAAACCGTTGATAATGATCTCACCTTAAGCCTAAACAACATGTATCATAGGTACTATTTTTTGTGCATTTGAGATGATCAGATGTAAGCTACATTTTTGCCAAAATGAATTACCTTTGCTTCTCCTGGTTCGCATGTTCTTGGGCTGGAGATGCCACGGCACCAACACATCTTGAGCATCAAACTGAAATAATGATGGAAAGAAAAATTGAAATTTTTACAAGAATATTAAAAAATAATTCATTTAAAAAGGTTTGCCCTGGATTGTTGCACAATTTTCAACATAGATGTATATGACTACCACAGCAATAACATAAACATATCGTATACATCCTGACTTATGGCAGAGAGTTTTGGGGGGAGGTGGGGGGCCTTTTTTTATTAATCATTCACCACCAAAATATATGCTGGAAAGTTATATTGTATAATATAAACTCTCCACAGTAAATCAGATTGAGACAAGTAAAAATTTCTTCAAATTAAATCTCATTTCAGGTAGTTTAAGTACATCATTTGATAGCTCCAAGTTGCAACTTAAAAGGGGGCAGTGTATTTAATAAATATTAGGCGACTGGCGACAAAGTAAAGTACCTCGAGATGTAGCTGTCCTTTCAAATAGCTCCATCCATTCCTTCAGTTAAGCTTGTAATGGAGCATGCGTAACATGATACTAGCAAGGCGGCACACTTCTGCCAATTTGCAGACATAAAAACTGCCTTTCTCAAAGCTGTGACCACTAGGAGAATCATGCAGTCTCCTCTGATTTAATCTCTCTACTCAATCTGGAGTGCGCCCCCGATCACTTCTGCCACAGATCGAATAAAATCTTCAAGAATTTCAATTCATTCAATAAAGGAATGTTAACCCATCGATGGTGTCATTTCAACCGAACCGTCTAATCCATCCGGTTTTAACCATGACTGCACTTACGCTCTAATGCAATGACAATTTGTATCACCAACGGTTTAAGATTTAAACTACGGTTGCAGAAAAACTCCTCTTTCCTTGCAATAAAATAAGCTCACCACTTGGGCTTTGAACTAGAGGGAACTCAAGCCGTAATGGACTGAACATTTTGTTTCATCAAACATACAAGATTTAAACTAGTGGTACAAAAAAACCTGTCTCTTAAAGTTTCGTGATAAAAGAAAGATGGATAGAGAAGTCTGCATGACACTACAGTAATGACAATATGATAATGAATATGCATGCAGTCGTCACACTTTTAAACTCAATTATGAATTGAAGTTAGTAAATATCAATTCTATTATGGTGTTGTGTAGAGGTGTCATGGTCTAGTGGATATGACACCGGACTATGGATCACATCTTTTGGGTTCAAGTCCCCCCGCTGCCCATAAAGTCCTTTGACAAGACATCAGTCTACATTTGCCACTCTCCATCTAGGTGTTAAATGGGTACCCAGTGGATGGTTTGGCAGGTGTGTGCTTGTAAAATGGTGCCTAGGTGGAATAATTCCCAAGGAACGGAGCATGTACACTTATCATTTGCAGATCAGCAATTGAATCCAATGATAATGATTACAATGTAAAGCACTTAAAAACGTAGTATTAAGCACTCTACAAATGTGATTACTGTAATTATTGAATCTTTTCTTGCAGTGTCTCTTTAACAAAAAGCTTGCTCAGTACTTCTCGGCCTGAAAAACACGAGGTTATAATCTTCTCCATACCACATACATATATTGATTCCTGTATGCCTAGATTCACTGAAAGTGTATTGATTGATTGTGTGCCTTTACTTGAGCACGTACCCTGAATCTTCGACTTTACTTCAAAAGCTAAACATGCATGCATCAAGTTAGTGTATGTGCTGATCTGAACTCTTGAATGTAAATGCCACATTCCTCCGCAGCACATACAATTATTGATCGTTTGCAGTCTGTCTCCTCTCCCTGTTGGCTTATCGTATCTATCCGTTTCGCAAATTAAAAGATAGAAAAGCTTAAAGGCATTGTTTAACAATGTTTCCAGTTTTACAAATATGAGATGCATGGCTCTCCGTCTTATCAGTGTCTGTGATTTGGTGTAATATTGAAGCCCTACAAAAATTGCGCTTCAAAATGAGCATAAAATGCTTAAAAAATGTAAAAATCTTTGAGTGACCGGTTTTACCATATCTCATTTTCCCCACTAGACTGTAGTGTAATAAAAAACAGTTTTTGAAATTTCTAATTCCAATCTTAAATATCTTGATAATCAGACAGGCCATCAGCTTGTAATAGTCATGGGATTCCTGAATGACTTAAAGGTTTATAATTATCATTGCAGCATGAGCTAAATCCAGGATTTTGTTTAGAATCTGAGGCAAAGATACCAAATCCTTTAAACACAGAGAGGATACAGCAACATTTGTTTTGAACAAGATCAATAAGATCTACCAAACACCTGGGGGGTGTTTCACAAAGATCTTAAGTTGAACTTATCTCTAAGTTGGACTTAACAATTATGGAAAGCCGTTAGCATCATTGAAAATATTTTGTAAAAATTATTTTAACAGGCATAACATGTTGATTCAAATTATTCATATTTTCTTTTATCTTGGGAGATTTCATGTTCTTGATGTGGAATTTAAGAAAAGTCTAAAATACTTGAATTTTGCTTTTGAATGTATTTCATTTTAATGCTACAAATGGCTCTCCATAATATCTACCGGTAAGTTCGACTTTGAATCTTTGTGAAACACCCCCCAAGATGTGTTCTAATGTGCTGAGGTATGATCAAACCAGTTGAGAAAGTGCATATTTTCAATGATTTTGGTTTTGTATAATTGGTTGTACTTTATGTATTAAACAGGCATCTTGGCCGGGCTCCAAAGTTGCTTTTAATGCATGCTCATGCTTTAGGCACCCTCCCCGACCCCACTTTTGCTTTTTGAAATATAATAAAATGATCAAGTCAAAGAAATAGTGAGAATTGTCAGGGTAATACCCTGATAATATTTCCATAAATGCTGGAAGCATCAGGGCTTTCTAGACTCTGGTATAAATCTAACATGTATCATAAAGTTCTGATAGGAAAAATAAATCAGAAGGAAACCTGTTGCATTTGGTCTCCTCTTGGTTCCGTGTGTAATCACAAGATACAAGTGTCAAATATCTTAACATTCAGTCAGTCACTTTCAATGTAAGATCAGTTAAATATCGAAAGAAAACTAAAATCCAGGTCACCGCTCAATAACACCAGGCAATCTTGGCTAGAGTAGAGTTCATAAGCTTGCCTGCTCTACGTGTGTTGGATCTACAAACATGACACACATTCTGAACCTACATGTACATGAAGCCTAAGGAGGACAAGTTAGAAAGGTTAATGAGTTCTTACTGAAAGTAAATCAGACCCTCACTCATGGAGACGTGGGGATCATGGAATAAAAGCCAGCAGGATTTCCACAGATAAACAGAGAGGAGTAGAGTTACATGGAGATGGTAAAGTGGAGAAAATACTGAGAAACGTGTCAGTAGGATGAACTCAAAAGAAGGAGAGTGAGCGACAGGGAGAGTGAGAGAGAGGAATAGAGAGAGAGAGAGGAAGATAGAGAGAGAGAGAGGGAGGGAGAGGGGACATGCTACATAGTTATTCAATCCAGTGGATCATAAAAACATAGCACTTACATTTCATGAATCGAGAGTTGCTAATTATTTCATAGGTGAGAATTCTGCACATCTTGCATGTTTAAAAGGGTATATATCTTGATGTCCAAGAAACTTGGGACTGGTTTGTGTAACGCTATCTTAAATGTCAATAGTACTTTTCTATGCTAGGATAGAAAGAGTCGTGGAGAAACCTATTTTACATGATTTAGTGACACTACCTGTCTTTGTTTTTGCTCCAGAGCCCAAACGTATATCATGACCAGTCCTCCAGGTCGGCATATCCTCGCCAGCTCCTGAATGGCCTGGACGCGCCGCTCAACCGTGGCAAAGTGGTGGACAACCGCGATGGAGATGACGGCATCGAAGCAGTTGCTACGATACGGGAGGCGCAGATTATCGCACACCATGGCCTCGTGGCCCCTCTTGGCGGATATGTCCACAAGATTTACGCAGCAATCAGAGCCAATCTTGAAGGTCTGGTCGTTGATTCCAAGGTATTTGCCATTCCCGCATCCTAAGGGAAGGTGACAAAAAACGAGAGAAAAAGGAACGGGAGATAAACTTTGATTAATGACAGCCACAGGTTGATTACCCTGCGGGGAGTTTCTTTCTCCTTGGATGGAAATCTAGATGACACAAAGAAAGACAAACCTGTCACTCGAAGGTCTTTTCGCAATCAACATTAGAAGCTGAAATCGACATGGAAGGCTTTAAAGCCACAACTCCACTCTTATTAAAATTACTGTGGAATCAAAAACTCATAAGTATGATATTTTAAGCCCACACTCACATTAACAGATTACATCGTAAGATGTCTTGAGTTTGGCATCCATAAAATCTTGTGCTAGTGAGTAGTGATGCTCCGATATTGTAACAATTTGTAATCCACATAACAGATCCCACAATATCTTTATTTTGGGAGGTCGAGTGAACTGATTGATAATGTTTATATTTTGATTTGGTGGAGAAATATCATAATTTTATTCAAAATACATGGGTATGATGGTTGATACCTAGAAAATGAGAGGTAGAAATAAAATAAATTTTGAAGAAAGGTAAGAAGAAAGAGAGAGGAGGAAATGGAAGATAAACTGTGATCAATGATCAGCACAGGTCGATTATCCTACTAGGATTTTCTGTCTTTGAGGTAAATACGTTAGATGAGAGAAAGAAATTCATGACTTATCGCCTGGTGGTGTATTTAGAATTATTCTCAATACAAATAGAGATAATTGTTTAGTTTTATCAATTAACAGACATTTTCTTGCTCATATAGCTGTGAAATTGTGATAAAATATGTAAGTAATATGAGATTTAGTTGAGAAACAGAGATTTCAACCCTTTTATCCATTTAAATGTAATTTGAAAAGTGAAATCTTATAATTCTTTTGAAGATTGACTTGTAAAGTATGCTGCAGAATTAAGAAAATGGGGACCAGAACAACAACAACAAAAAACATTGTGAGATTTGTTAGAAACACAAAGAGGATACAGGGTTAGTGAGACAAAAATGAAATTCTGTAAAATATGATGAGGGAAAATTTACAAAAGACAGCAAGAGAGAGGGAGGGAGAGGGAGAGAGAGGAGAGAGAGAGAGAGAGGGGGGAGAGAGAGAGAGGGGGAGAGAGAGAGAGAGAGGGGGAGGGGGTGAGTGAGGTGATGAAGAGAAACATAGAAAGCTTGCATACCTGTTTCAACTACTAGTATACTTTACATAATTACAAATCTAGCTCGGGGAAATTACTAGAAAGCTTGATGGCTTTGTGGATGACACAGGATTCCACAGGGTAAGGTGAGTAAAACAGAAACAACACAGGACAAAAGACACATGACATCTTGGAAAATAGGAATGAAAATGTGCCATGGGGGATATGGAAGGAAAGAGTTGAATGCTCTAGCTATGTTCACAGGGGACCGCCGTAGATTTTAACTTAAAGTTTGCGAAACCTTGAAGTGATTATCAATGATCCATTGATAATGACAAGGGCTCACAAGGGACCTAAACAATGAGTATTCAAAGTTAACAAGCCGGAAAAGGCATTCTTTTAAAATTCATTGAAACTACAAGCTAGCGTAACCTTCACGCTGATTGCGTCCACATGGCACATAACTGATCGCTGTGTGAACCTGGCTCCTAATAGACATGCAGCCTTTTCACACACAGCTAAAATTCATCGTATCTAGAGATGATTAGAATCACTCAACAGTTTTAAACATGTTTATAGACAAAATTTCCCAGTGTGAACATCGTTTATACGATGTTGGGATGGATACGAAGTCGCGATCCATACGCCCCTAAAAGCAGGCTGCAGATACGAAGTTCGTATCTAGAGAGCTTGACATTTTGTGTGTGAAAGGAAATTCGTGTTTAAACGTGTTTAAACTGGATGGAGCGTGCGCTTTGATTGATATGACATGACCTTCAATGTGCAATGGCACTACTGCGCATTTTACGAGCAGTAGTTAATCACGAAACTATTAATGATCGCAACGAAATTTCTGTGTGTGAAAGGCTCGTGATTAGTTTAAACACGTTCGAAACACGTTTATACTAATCATGTTTATAGAATTTTAGCTGTGTGTGAAAAGGCTGATGGAAAATGAGAAGCCCATAAGGTATGCATACATACACCATGTAGAGGTCCAATTACCTGCGATGTGGCTATCTTTAATAATACACACTAATGTGAAACTAATATGAATCAAATGGATCAAATGGAGGTATTCTAGCTATATGCCTATTTCTCTATCACCTTTTCTGTTGCACTTAAATTTACCTCTGACAATTTTTTCATGCATCAAGTAAAATATTGCAATATTTCCATGCACATGGCAATTAAAACATTTGCACTCCCCCCCCCCCCCCTAATCACTGGTGCAATGATATCAATATGTGACACAAACCTATTCACTGCCATTTTGGATAGCAGTTCATCTGCCAAACCAGGGTATTTCCTTAAAATTTGGGCAGCACTATACTGCTGATGAAGAAAATATTGTCACAGGTAGCCCACAGCATATGTATTATGAAGATCGTCTAGAATCCCAATACTACAAAACAATATTTGAAATCAGACAAATTTGGATATCATATTGCTGTCTGATGCCGTGAAATTAAAGATAAACTCCAGTACTGGTAAAAAAAAAAAATTAATTCTCACAGAATCAAACGAAACTTACACTGAATGTTCAAGATTACAAATAAATGACATGTGCCAAACAATTTTGGAAGAAAATGTATACTGGCTGAGTAATGAGCATAGAAAGACAAGGAAATCAAGGTAGTACTAGCCCCGACACCATGTGTGTTGTCCCATATATAGCTTTCTATGTGAGTGCTTGTTACTTTACCAAGACTCGGTCAAATTTATTATGATTTTGATGACTCCAGAACCTTGCAGTGCACACCAATACTTACATGCTACATGATCAACTGTTTCTGATCCTTTCCACACCTTTTCTTTCACAACGCAATCGCATTACCAGTACTAAAGTTTATCTTTAACTTCCATAGATCAGGAATTCTTGGAATAAACAGTTGTTATAGTTTCTGCTCATTCCTTAATGTCTTGTAAGGTATGAATATAAAATCTAATTTCCTGATATGATTTTTCTCCTTCCTTTTCTCTCTCTCTCTCTCTCTCTCTCTCTCTCTCTCTCTCTCTCTCTCTCGTCCTAGCTTCTTTAACCTCCCCTCTCTATCTCTCTCTCTCTCTCTCTCTCTTTTTGTTCATCTAAAATCTCAATATCTTGCCTTTCCCTGTTCCTATTACCTGCCATCTCAGTCAAGAAATACATGAACTCAACAATTCTAAAGATCAAGTCTGCATCCCCCCTGCCTATATCTCAGTCTTTATCTCTCTCTATTTCCTAACATACATGCACACATCTTGTGCAAATCTCATATTGATATTAAATTACTACCAATTTAAAAAAATTAAACTGAACGAAAGTAAGAACACCAGCAAATCAGGGAAATATTAATGAAACATTTACTTTGTTAAAAAATGATGAAATCAAAATCCAAAGTACAGTTTCTACCCTCTTACTTTAAATACTAGATAAAAATCCTTGTTTGGTTCCTAACGAGACGATGAGGAGTATTCTAAAGAAAAAGAAGATAATTTGCTTCCCTGTGATTAATGACTCTCCCTGAATACATGTATTCTCATCACACATTACATGGTCATGCAGTGCATCGGGTCAAATCGCTTCATTTCGTCAGGGAGATCCCTCCCATCTCCCTTATTTCATCTAGCCAATTCTACCTCTCAAGTCTTATCTATCATTATAGTCTCTCAACAAAGACTCTTCTCATGCTTTAGCACGCTACATATTAATGGAGACTACACAGAAGGGTGCATTTATTTCTTCATTTACATACACATTAAAAATCAATCTGGGATACAACAAATGCTACAATATGCTTCTCCGCTTGCCCCCCCCCCACCCTCTCTCTTTCTCTCTCTCTCTCTCTGCTTAAAGAATAAATATATCACTCTAAAGGTCTGTTTTCATCAGCTTGTGATTGCCAAATAACCCGCTTATTTCAACTATACCGATCGCATATTATCCAGCTAATTTGTTTCTTATAATTGGATATTTGTTCAAGACAATCATCACAAGATATCCTGTGCCAGTTTGCAAAATATCCTGCTATTTGTCCGGTGCGTCTTCACCAGCCCGAAGACTCGCACTATGAGCGAACCCTGAGCAAAATAAGCCAGGACATTATGATAATTTGTATACCAGTATTATCTTTATTCTCTTTATAGAATTTTTTTTTTTTTAATCAATGTTTATATCGAAGTGCAGGGGCAGACTGGTTTATCTAGATGTATTCATACTTCCATATATCAACAATTTTTTTTTCTTTCTTGGTCTTATATCAGACAAACTTATTTAGTACATTTTATTTTCTTGTGATTCCTTCCCTTTTACAATTATGTATTCCGCACATTATATGCTAAATATAAATCAGTTTTATAATGGACAAACACCTGCATTTTTCATAATCAATAGCGATCAACAGCAGCTATTAAATGAATTAATAGCAGTCTGCACCAAATAGGCGATCTAAATGTAAGATTTATTGACTGCAAGTATTAAATGTTGTGGTGTGTGGTGAGAGCATGAATCCCTTGGAAGAGGATTATAGATGGGTGCAATGTCCTATGATAAAAATAGATCCAACTGCTCTCATCAGAAAACCAGTCTACATCCATTTCTGCACCATTCTAAATAGCCAGAAGGAATCTTGATCTTGTTTCAAGTCTGTCAGTATTGACTTACAAGATATTGCATCTATCCTAAACATTAGCATCCTTATCCTCGTGTTAAAGAAGATGGATTTCCCCCTTGGAGGCTCACATACAATTGATAGGAAATTATCGCGAAACCCATTTCTAAGGCTATCTCATCTTGTAAGAGATTAAACAAACCAATTATACTTGATAAATCAAGTAATAGAAACTGCAGTTTGAAATTGCAATGAATTTTTGCCAAAATATATGCTACACAAATCGTCCTTGTTTTCACGAAGTGACGGTAGTGAGGAAAATCGTCACGCAAAGTGAATGCAATTTTTTTCACTACCGTCACTTTGTGAAAACAGGGACGAAATAATCTCCTTGTGCTACTTTTGTTTATCATTGTATAGCTATACCAAAGGCTTCAAGATTATTTAACTGTATCCGGTGCAATCTATTCTGGTGTTAAAAGGGTCGCCAAGGAACTAATCATGACTGAAAATGAGTGATTTGCAAAGCCATTCTGTTTCACAAAGCAATCCTTCTGTTAGTTGGCATATTATGCAACAAGCAACCGCGCAGAGAGGCAAAGAAAGCATCTAAAGTGTTAAAATATGCTTTTGCATTAAAAAAATCAATCTATAGATGATATTTTGCAGTAAATTGTATAAGAATATTGTTTGTTTTTCCTCCCTCCCTCTCCCATCCCTCTGTCTCTGTCTCTCCCTCTCCCCCTCTCTATCTATCTATCTCTCTCCCCCTCTCAAGCTCCCCCTCCCCCCATCTCCCTTTGTCTCTGTCTCTCTCTGTCTGTATGTCTGTCTGTCTCTCTTTCTTAATTCTTATATAAATATCCTTGCAAACAGTCTTCAGGCAAACTGGTCTGCTGGGAGCCACAAGGGCGATCCCTTTTATATCCCTTTATACAGAGTTGATGCTCCATGTAAGATAATATGAAGCCCTTTCGGCTCTCGGCAGCCGATATCATACAAACCTTTACCAAGAAGGTTAACCTTCTGTACTACCTGCGATGATGCTCTAGAGCAACATGTGTGACATGAAGGCTAATACGGATGGCCTCAGGTCAATGTATCACTTTATCAAGACGAGTTAGACCGTAACGAATATAACTGTGCTATAGGTGGATTGGTCTTCACATAATTACAGAGGGAGCAGCAGACTAAGAAAAAAACTGTTATACTATGAATAGGATGCTGTTGTAAAAAGGGTTTTTGTTAAATTCATGCTTAAAACATAAACTGTTTGTGAAGTTTTCAGGGTTAATTCATGTCTTTCTATCAAAGTTGAAACCCTGTAAACTATACCTACCTATCATTAAGTTACTCCAGCATGAAAAGTATCGCTGATACTCAATAACAAAACAAAACAACAAATCAAAAATGATTTTGTGACACTTCCTAGGGGTAATCACATTTGATGAATTAGCCAAGAATATGTAATACTCTCTCACTCAAAAAAAAAACTATGCTCAACGTGAACATTTTCCAAAAACAACAGTTGCATTATCACATGAATTCAATGACCTATTACACAAAAACCTACACTGTGAGGCAAACCAAACACACATCTTAAAATAGGAAATTTCTTCTAATAAGCATACTTGTAAAATTGAAAAGAACGATAAGGATTATATTCTACCTTTTACCAGAACTCCACATTCTCATTAGGAGAGTACTTTATCATCCGCTCTCTAACTATGTATGGCATTGTATGCAAATTGTTGTTCTATACACCTAATAAACTAATGCATTTTCTTTCTTTAGTTCATCAACACCATGAATCAAACCAGGACAATGGCTTCCCGTCTCTGTACGCATTAAACCATCATGTTTATTCAGAGTAGGCTTCCTTCCCTACAGCATCCACTATAGCCTGCAGGCATATAGTCTGCACACAAAGACTAATCAATTTCCTTGCCTTGCATCCCCTTGTGATTCAGGCCATTCCCTCCATCTACCAGTGAGTAATCAATCGCACTACTTGTTGCATCCAGCCCAGCCGCTTCGTGGAAAACATCACCCCAGCATGATCATCATCATTAACTCACCGGAAATGACTCTGCATCCAGCACAACAAACGCGACTGGAAATAGCAATCCCATTAAGATAATTAGACATAGAAGGGAGCTACACACGACTTGTTTGCATAACCAGGTCAATCAACTGTTACCCTGGAATATAAGAAGCAGGTCGATAGGCATCCACTTTTTTTTTTTACTCATCACTCATTTCTAAATTCATATCACTATTACAAAAAAGGTTGGATGATGTGTTTACCAATCAATATTCAATCTATTTAACAATATCCTTTTTTCTGAGTAAATGTAACTCTGTTTCTGTTTGTCCCGGATACAAGCAATATCTCTGATTTAGTTGGGAGAACATATCCTCTATGAGAGCAGGAAGGGTGTTAAATAATAGCACTTTACAGGTTTACAAAGAGTTAATGTCCTTCTGGCTCTCAGCATACCGATTCCATACTATCTGTAGTAGATGTGAATACACTAGCATGTAATGGCATGGCTTCCATGAAGCTGAAGGGGAGGGATGTCTGTGTCTGTGTCTGTGTCTGTGTGTGTGTGTGTGTGGGTGTGTGTGCGCGTGTGTGTGTGTGTGGGGGGGGGGAGGAGGGGGTTATAGTTGAGTAGTTATGAAACAGAAACATGGTCATAATCTTTCAATCAAAGATGATGATGAATCACTCTAAGAGAACATAAAAGGGGAAGTCCATCCTGATAGTTTTTATATAGACGCAAAAAAAATGATAGAAACCGGTCTGTGAAAAATTGAGCAAAATCTGATTAAAAATAAGAAAGGTATTTCAAACAACAATAACAAAAAGCAACCAAATCCTATGGTAACTGTTGCTATACAGAACTACACAAACCTGCTTCAAGAGGTTTGCAAAGACTCCAAGGAAAAATCAAATTAAGGCAATTTCAATGGATGAAAGACTCAATCTGCTCTTCCTTGAGTTCCTCCGATGCAGTATTATTAATTCTCTTGAGGCTTTTAACCTGAATTACCAAACCATTATCAATGCTGGCTAGGCTATTACCTGTCTCAAATAATTAGAGCTCTAGACTTAGGCTCTCATCATCAAAAAAGATAGTGGAAAATCATTAATCTCCTACTCATACAATTTATACCCTTCCTTCCAGATCCTGCTCAAGTGGAAATTGCAGGGTCAGGCTCGATTAGGTAATGTTCATTTTCCTATGACCATTATCCAGATCAATGGATATTCATCAGTCATTTATAATTAGGAGTCATTAGATGTTTCATTATTGTTTTCCAGGAAAAGAGGAACGTCATAATCTCATCAATCATTGCTAGCCATTAATAGCCAAACTTCAAAATCCACTCCTTAAATATTTTGTAATGTATGTTAGTAGTTTCATGTCACGATTCTCTATTCAAAATATGAGCTACTAACATTATTTCTGTAAAGATATTTTGCAAGTTTAAATACACTCTTCAACTAACAGAGAAGCATCTTAATGTTTACATTTGTGTTATATGTTTTTTGTTTTTTGTTTCTTTTTATTTAATGTTTTTTTTTTCTTTTTTTTCTTCTTTGCTTTACATTATGCTATGAATGCTTTGGGAACTATGCGTGTACAAGGCCTAGGGGCTTTATTTATGTAGTTCCCCATTTCATTTCTAAATTTGTTCATGAATAATTTTGTATCTTTTGTATCAATGTAATTTTTAATCGAGAATGAAATAAATGCGAATTCAATTCAATTCAATGTAACAGACTCAACAAACCCATATGCACTCTCATAAAACAGGGCCTGCACAAATCCGACTTGGTGGTGTGCCATGTGCGACGTTTTATGTTATTCAAAGAAGTTACTAGCAACTCACTTCTTGGTTATTCTCTATGTTACTCATGCTTCCCAACAGTTAGCCCATAGAACGAGGGGTGAAGTTTTTTTAGGTTGGAAAAAATGGTGCTACAAAATGAAACACTCAGCTCAAGAATATAGTTCAGATCATATTTCTCTAGATCTTATAACACACTTATAAGTAGTATGCTTTCAGAAGTTTGTTGCTCATAGCTACTTTTTAACCCCTACTTGCCAGTTAGTCACCTGTAAAATGCTTTTTATCTTTTGCAGCCTATATTTCAACGAAATGTTAGGTTACTTAACCCAACACAGATAGCGTTTTCCAAGTAAGTACTTCAAACGTGATTACGTGAGTGATCGTTACAAGCTTGAACGAGCACTGCAATCATTTTTACTGAAGCAATATTCTCAAAGGGAATGCACATGTCATATCAAATGCATGCTGCTAACTAAAGACAAATTAAGTGAAAGGGGACCGCTCAACAAGACACTTGATACTAAAGGGATACTTAACTAACAATCTGCTCGAACATAAACCCTAAATAATATTGTAGAAAGGAGAAATAAATGCGATAAACATTCTCCAAGGCTCCCTCCTTCAAGAAATAATTTCCCTGCATGATTAAAATTCTAGGAAAGAAGCTTGTCCTATAATCCTCTTGAAGCTCGGGTTACATCTTCGAAGGCCAAGTTGTTAAGTAAAAAGCAAGGGAAAGAGTCTCATGTTTATTATTTACAGGCCTTAAGGGCTATGGAGTATAGCAACAAGATGTTCAGAACAGAAAAGCTATAATTAATTTCTGTCTCAACAAAGCTATACCAGACTGTAGTGGAATATGTATTTTTCCATTAGTAGTTAATTTGTACCAACATGATAACGCTGGTGCGTCAAACAACTAGAAAGGCTTTATTAAAACAGTTTGAAAATATTTTAGCTTAATAATTCTCTTATTTCCTACCTTCATAATTACAAGATATCGGTACATCATTCCCTGTACATCAACTTTTACAATCAAAGAAAAATATAAAAAATAAAGTATTAATGGGAAAACCACAGGAAATTTCAGCAATTATTAATGTCAAAATGCTTTCAAAAGATTACAAACTTCACTATACATTTCTTCTACAACAAGGTGTGTAGCAGTAACGATTTGCTTTGCCATCACATCTATTAATAATTACCCTGAGAGAAAAAAAGAGCCATATTTAGAATTCTTTTTTTTTTGTTTTCACTACACTGTTCAACTCTTCACAAACCATCTCTGTAGGACAAACACATTTTCTGCCCATTTTCATTTTCATGATTATGGAAAAGAGAGTGGGGGGGGGGGTAATTAGCCTCTTAATACATCAAGTAAAACTGAAACTAATGAAAGTAGGATATGCATAAGTTGCTACCAAGAGCAAAAAAAAAAAATCTAGGCCCTGTCTTATAAAGAGTTGCGATTGACCCAAATCCATCACAAGTCATCTAATCAATAGCAAGTTTGCAGACTCCTATCTCTTATGTACATAGCTGCAATTGATATCAATCATAAATAAGTTGTAAATAAAATAAACTCTTTATAAGATGGGGCCCTGGATTGCATTATCATCAAACTATTCATCCAATTGTAAAATTCTATGGACCAGACCAAAAACTACATTGTAATTGTGGAAATCAAACTTTTTTCTAAATAACATTACATAACAGGATTGAATAACTACAATCCCTTGTGATCTTAAAAAGTGAAAACACAATCTTCCCATCCACAATAAGAGAAGAAGATGAACAAAAAAAAATAGTATTACACAATAGTAGGGGTTGATTTTGTAACGGTATGCTTTCGGTATGTAATTCATTTTAAAAATCAATCAACCCTGACCTAATACACATATGGCTGTACATACAGTATCCCACCATGGACAAATGTCCAGCTGTCTACTTAATTACTTTGGGATTAATATGGCTTTCATCCTTGTCATGTATGCCCAATGTATTTAATTTGCATTGTTTTTAATACACATCCTCTGTTCTGAGGCGGAAGGGTGTCAACTCTCTGATAAAATATATGAGTTAACGCCCCTCTGGCACCAAACAGATAGAAGATAAAGAAAGATAACAGATCTGCGATTCTAATCATGGATGCATTAATCAGTAATGTGCAGAAAAACAGATCAATCTGGCTGTGAAGGTACACATGAACAAGTAGTCTGCTACATTGGGTATTAATCTGATAAAAATGATCTGTTTCCCCATGCCATTGATTTTCATTACCACGTATTCTTTTGAATGTTGATTAAGGAATTGTTTGAAATTACTTCTGAAAGAGTGCACATTCAGATTGTATTTGTTTCATTATAAGAGAACAAAATATAATATTAGAAATGCAAACAATATAAAAATGACTATATTTTAATCTACCATTACACCCTTTGTAAACAAGAAACATTCCCCCTCCTTCAGTTTTGCTCCCCAAAATAATAAAGGATCAAAACAATTAAAATCTCAGACATACTGTATTTGCTGGCGTAAAGGCAGCAGTATTTTTGGAAGAGAAAATATAAAAAAGTAGGGGTGCGGCCTTTACGGCGAAAGAGTAAAAAAAAAAAAAATTTAAAATGAAAGTCAAAACCAGCACGAATTTGCACATATGGGACTACGAACGGTAAAATAACTATACCACTATGGTACAGGACATTTCCACACATCTTACCGACAATTTTATCTTGCATTGTTGACATGAAGACAAAAATAAACTTCCAAAAACAACATCTGCCGATATATCTTGATCTAAGTTCGTGCCAATGCATTGCTAAAGTAAAAGAAGGGCCCCTTTAACGGAGCTGCCGCGAGGCATCCAGCACGCGAAGTCGCCATTTTCAATCCATTTCAATGTCTACATCAGAGAAAACTGCAGTGTCTGGCATCAGTGCGGGATGGCCGAGCGGTCTAAGGCGGTGATTATAGTCACATCAACATTTGTACGCAAGAGATCGAATCCTGTCTTCGACAAAAGTTTTTTTTTTTTTTTTTAAATGTCAAAATCGGGGGTGCGGCCTATGCGGCGCTGCGACCTTATCGTCGGCAAATACGGTACATGTAAAATTTAACCCCTTAAAAAAAAAAAAAAACATAACCAACCCTACAAATTTCAATAAAATATATTTGCTATCACGATCACATTAGCGCCATATTGTGATTTTTTTTTGCTATCGCTATCGTGTACCGTAAATCTCCGTGTATAAGGCGCACCTTGTTTTGTTGC